GATTGATTACCCCGTGTCTACAAATGTGAGTCTCGGAAGCGAGCATACTTTATATGTTCAATCAAAGGACGGTGCAGTGGTGAGAAGCCGCATGTATTCGGCTCAAAATGGCTTTCGCGAATGTTCATGAGATGAACGTTCTGAAAATAATGATGGACTGTTTCCAACTGTACCTTCAACAAAAGGGGCCATTTTGACGTTTCTAGTGATGGAGTAGTTGGTTCGGGTTTCACTGCAAAGATCTCATCTGCATGCTTAGCCTAAAAATAATGTACTTGATTGAATACATACCCCGACACTAGACTTCCTTTGCTTTTTTTTCTTGATAGGTGAAGCCGCGACCGACATGCTACAGTGGCGTGCTAGCAATACGGACGGCGCGCGTTTACAGCATTGTCCTAGACGTCGCTCGGGTTGGAGAAGAACTTCAGCTATTCAGTTGCACAATTAATGCTATGCTTTTTCTCGAACATTTTCACATTGATTTGCTTCCAGAAAAATTATGTTAAAGGATCATCAAACAAACACGTACGGAATACGGAGGTAAAAACATAACCAATAATTTGGTCAAGAAGATTTTAATAGAAATTAGAGATTAGTTTTAAATAACGAAATCATGTCGAAGGAGCATAAATCAACAGAGTAAAGAGCATTAAAATGTAGATAAAAACGTTGAAGATATGCATCTCGAAATGCAGATAAATCATAAATTAACTGCTGGATGTAAAATGGAGGGAGCCCTCCACGCCGACTAGAAATTCATCTGATGCCAACAACAGTAATTGATCTAGTATAGGTCAACGTACGAGAAATGATTAAACAGTCCTAAATATTCTCCGCGAAAGTTCAGTGGCATTTATATTGTTCCACCAAAAATGCAACAAGGAGTATTAGGCATCATGAATCCGTAATTTATGTCATGGACATGTGGTGATGTAAGGCATTTAAGTTAGGGGCATAAAAAGCCAAAGCATTTGACAGACGTAAGTACATGATCATATGTGAGCGAGAAGTACTTTTAAAGCAAGTATGCCCACATGTGCTGAAACTGTACTATCGTATTTACATATTTTTGAACGTACGTAGCTTCATTCCAGCCACCTTAGCCACCTGCGTGCCAATGTATGGAAAAAAAATAGAACCGGCCTAGTCTTTTAATGGAAGATTTTATCCTTAGAACACCATAATTCAACGTATCGACAATTTTTTGCACTTTGTAGGAGTCTAAGCCGTGAGTGTCCTCGGAGCGCTACAAGTATCACGCCCAGTCACGTGTAGGAAGAGAACAGGTAAGACCACTAGTTATTTAATGTGTACAGAAACTCAGTGGTGGTCTGAAACCCCGATACACGGCAGGCCCGGGCCCTGCACGTACGTTCGTCTTCTAGCGTGTTATGGGCGTGAATGCATAAACGTTATGCGAAAGTGAGTCACTGGCTACTTGGTCAACTGCTTGGTCAATAGCAACCTACGGCACCTGTCCCCGAAGCAGATAGAGGAGCGCAGTCACGTGGCGTTTCGAGGGGCTTGGTGCCGGCGCTATCGCTCCCCCACACACCGACCAAAGTGAGAGATCAACATTGAGGTTAACGAGGAAATGCATGAATAAACCAAGTGCACATGCCGATTTGAGAACGTGTCAATGGCGACAGATGTTACTCGAAACTGGGCGAGACCGATGCTGTGACCTGTGCAGTGGTGCAGTATGACGAACCAGTCGGAGGGTGTGTAGGAGTCATCTCAACGTGTGCCGCTGAATTGGCACGTGGGTGTATGAGGAAAGTGTGTGTGCGGCATTGTGCATCCCAGTAAATGCTGAGCCGTACGAATCCATCAATGAAGAGTTCACTGTCGTCTGGGCTCGAAGATGGGAAGGAGTACAGAGCGTGGCAACCGCAGTGGAGTTTCACTGAGTTAGGCACAGAAGGGTTGCATATCTGGAGAAAAGGTCACAAATATGTATACCGGTGATGTTGAAAATAAGCGTTCGAGATGAGAGAAAACATGCGGTGTTTGAGTGTTTGAAGGACTACTCTCACAATATGGTTGGAATTCCGTAACTGAATCCGCTTGATGACACCGCCTTCACTCGTCACAAAATATGGAAAACTGCGTTTTCCCATCGGTGGACACGATGATTGACGCAGGAAAAAAACAGGCAGATTAAGTGGAGGGAAATTTGTTTACCGTTTGCATTCAGGCACGTCAGGAGGTTGCGGTTTGATCACGTCGGACAGTCACCAATTTGTAGAAATCTAAGCCCTGAGTGTCCTCAAAGCACTACAATTATCACGCCCAGTGCCGTGTAGGAAGGGAAGGGGTAAGAACAGTAAGCGTGGTTTAATTTATACAGAAACGCAGTGGTGGTCTCAAGCTATGTCACAAGGCTGGCCCGGGCCCTGCACGCGCGTCTGTCCGTTAGCGTGCTATGGGCGTGAATGCATAAACGTTATGCGAGAGTGAGCCACTAGCCACTTGATCAACGGCTTGGCCAATAGCGACCTCCGGCACCTGTGATTGGCTGTCCCAGAAGAAGATAGAGGGGCGCAGTCACGTGACACTTCGTGGGCTCGGCGCCGACGCTAAAATTCACAAGCCTCGATCCTTTGTGGCTTTGGCGAAGGGATTTTCTACTATTTGTACTTTTAAACAGTCATACACATAATCCCCTTACTATTCTATAGCAGCTTAACCATTATCGGTGCACTAGTGACCGAGTCGTCCGTTTTTTTTCGGTAAACGCCAATGCAATTTGTAATTAGCTACCCATGAATATCAAAAATCAGCAAAGCTATCCTCTGTTCAAGAGAACTGTCACTAGTTTTATACATTCAGGATATCTTTCAAGATCTTTAGGGGATGCCTCAGTGGAATCTCCCTTCTGATCTCATGGCGTTTGATGACTCCGAGCCCTGTAGCAGGCTACAGCCTGAGGGCTATGGTGCTGATATCCAGGAGTGGTTCAGGCTGAGGAGGTTTAACCCTAACGGCTGCGATCTTTCACATCCGGTTTCTTAGGAGAGGAGAGGCCAGAGTAGTAGGAACTGTAGTG